GCAAACAGAACTAGTTCCAGAATCAATCAAGTGAGTACATAACTAGACAAAACATTTTGCCTGTGCAAAAGCCATCTTTGCAGGCTCTCAGTTTCTCCTTGTTGCCCATTTCAATTATGTAAGATAAAGAGAGTATCACATCTAAAAAGGCGTAATTTTAAGATACAATCTAGTTTATTCACGGTATGATCAACACAGATGCTACAGGCACATTTGTGTGAAAAGTCATAATGTTATTTCCTGAAGTCCTGAATAATTATATTACTACTGGCAAAGAGTTTATTTCTGTTTCCACTGATGTCATTAAGAACTCTGTCTGAGTACGTGTGCATATACACATTTCTAGGTAGATTGCACAGGTACATGTATGTACCACTAGAAGATCCCATATAATTCATATTTGTTTCATGAAGAAAAAATATATTGTAAGTAACTTTCAGTTGCCTTCTACATCTTTTATTTCCAAGACACTTATTGTTCAAACTTGCGCATTTTTTGTGGGATAGCTCCATTCTAAAGCCAGCTAGCACTTCACAAATACGAATGAGCACACCTTAGTGAAATTAAAGTTTTCTAAACTCTGTAATTATTACTGTATCAATTACTTACAACTGCCTATAGATGTTCAAAATAACATTCACATAGAAAGCCAGATGATTCTACCTGCTGCTTTAGCAATTGAAAAGAAAGGGGAAAAACTAAGGCTAGGTATCCAACTCTTTCTAGACCTTTGTAAGGAGCATTGTTTCTGAAAGTAAGGTATTTTTATTTATAATAGTTACATACAATTGGTATAGAGCACACACATATTTCTCAAAAGGAGTATATGTGATGACAATACTTAAAGGATACCAAGGCTACTTCTTCAATTACTTAAGTATTAAACCATCTGCTGCACAATGCTCTTTCTGCAGCATGAACACACATTACTTTATAAGACCACATTAGTCACCCATCTAAAATTCAAAAAACCTTTTCACCCACAAAGAAAATAATCTTTGGCTGGTAAACAGTACATAAACATTATAGTTTCATAAAAATCTTCACCAAAAACTTGGAAAATGTCTAAAATGGGAACTTGTTAACTAGCTTACCACTTGTGCCATGTGATAACCTAATCACCTAACAGGATTTACAAAATGGATTAATGGATCCTCCAGCTGATGTATGGGTGATGTGCATTGATTCATACATGAGAGGCTAGGAATTTTTTTGATGCTTTGAGAGCAGAACAGATTTATCTTTAATGGCTTGTACGCTCATGAGAAGTGTACAAAACTTTCAGAATGCATCAAAATACTGACGGTTTTTTGCAATCTCTAATAAAATACATACACAGATAAATCGATATATCATATACTATTCAACCCTGTATAAGGAACAATGAAAGTCATCACATGATGTTTCTACTTCATAATATATAGCAAAAAAAGAGACATAGGGAAAAACTGCTGCTTTGTTTGACTGTCTACGATGTGTTAAGAGACATTTTCATACCAGCATAGTTACAGTCAAACACATGGAGATGAACATTTTTTTAAGCAGGTGCCTAAGATCAGATGTCTACTCCACATGTTTACTTGGTTCCTCCTGATATATAAAAGGTATGGAAGCATTTTCTATTTTATTTTGCTTATTCACAAGGAAGATCCACTTAACACCTGAAGAGCTAGAGAGATCATGAAAAGATTAGCACTCAAGAAGAAAAACCTGAATCGCTGAGCGAGATTTTTAGACAGTTGTTGAAAAACCTTTCATTATTTTATTTCATCTTTAGCATCTATTCAGTTCACGCCTGCAGAAAACAATCTGGAGGAAAGTGCTCTGTATTAAAAAAGGCACCATTCTGCTTCTTCATTTAAGAGTATGAGACTAAAACAGGATCTCCATACTCAGAATGAATACAATCTCATAATAAAAGTAGCTTTACTGAATACAAAGCTAGCTTGCATTGTAGAAATCTGTTCAGTGTGAGTAAATTGTTAAAATATGACCCAGAAAAGCATGTTGCTTTTTTCCCTCTGAAACAGTACTTCAGCAAAACAAGGAATTCAACAGTTGCTACTACTAATATTTCTAAGATGAAAAACAAGAAATAAAATGAAAGATCAAACAACTCAAGCTCACACGCTTTCAGTAGACAGCAGAAAAAAAGAAAAAAAAATCTGACTTTTTTTCTAATATTATCACCTTACAAAAAGACCACAACAGATGCAATTTAAAAATTATTTCTACCTTACATTTACCAAATAAACTATCTTAATTCTTCATAATATGTGTAAGACTGGCTAAGTAAAATTTATCTTAACAGATGAAATAAATGACTATCAACTGTACCAGACAGCCAAACCATGGCTTCATTTGGTACTAGGGATATTAGTTAATTACTTTCAGGCAGTAGAATGACTTACGAATATGATTAAAGCGAAGTTAGGCATTATTCTCATAGTGCAATAGAACGGTATTTTAAGCATGGTATTGAAGAACCAGGTCATAAGAGAGGGTTACAAGGTTACAAGGCTTTAAAGTCAGAACTGCTGGAGACATGAATGAAGTTCAATATATTACAACATCCACCAAAACAGAAGGATTCTTTGCAAATGGATAAATAAATTGAAATGAAAAGGTGTTATGTTATAGATCAGTCGTATTTTGCCTATAATTAGTGACTGAAAATTGTAAGCTTTAACTTGTCAGTTCAGACCATCATCCAAAATCTAGAAACGGCTTTATGATATTATGCACTTCACTCAGATACACAGTACAATGCAGATTTGGCCTGTTTCTGCTTTAGCTTATAACGTTGCCCTTATAAAACTGTGTCCACAAAATGGTGCAACTGATTAAATTTAAATTTAATAAATCTGTCATGGAGCCATATATCTTTTTGAGGGGAAAAAAAAAAAACCAAAACCCCCAACCAAATCTATAGAAATATCTTCTCTCAACATTTTTTTAAAGTGATTTTAATTTGGTAGTCATACTCAAAAAGCATGCTATGATACAAACTTTCTGCTAATTTTAAGTCACAATGTAACTGTAATTAGAAAGCAAAAATTAATTTAACAGCACCATTTTTATTTTATTACGGGGGTACATGGATAAGCTTAATGCAACAAATTTTGTAAAGGTGTTTTTAGGTCTTCCTGTGTACGACTTTACTATAAATAATAGTAATATCTAGCTCATATAATGCGTTTTTAGTAGTAGCTTTCAAATTACTCAAATAGGGTTAGTTTATAGAAATGCAAAATAATACTGGGAATTACTATTCATTTAACCCCTCATAGCGGATACAGAAAATGAAAAAAAAAAAAAAAAAAAAAATTTTTTTTTTTTTCCTTTTCCTTTTTCAATTTCCTGTATGAATAAAACTGCCTTTAACAGAAATTCCTTGTAACACACTACAAACGTGTAGTATATTACTCACTGCAGTTTTTGTTCTAATAAAAGTAACCATACAACTGTGAATAGTGCTTCTAAAAACAGTGAACAACAACAGAAGAAAAATCATTACAACTTGATGACTGTCATAGAAAGCAAGGAGGAACAACTACCTTGTCCACTACTGCCTTGAGATTCTACCCTAATACCAACAGAAGTGCTTAGACATTTCTAAATACACTTTTTCATTCTGGTTTTTTTTTTCTTCTGCCAAACCCCACATATTTACATGTACGAAAAACTGCCCTTGGACAAAATTTTTTTTTTCTGACCATAATAACTGCATGCATCTATAACTTGCAAAGCACAGCAAGGCTTACAGCTTTGGGTTCACTGATCAAAATGCCATCTTCACAAAACAACATTCCCATTTCACTTAAGTTCTATTTAAAAACCTGCCTTAGCTTTCACAGAAACTGTATTTTCATATCTAAAACACAATGCAGTCTCATTTTAAAATTACTTCATATCTAAAAATACATCAGCTTCCATATTTTCTCCCACTGAGAACTAAAAACACTCATAATACAAACTTTTTAAACTGCCAGAAAAAAATATATATCCTTCAAACTGCAAATTACTGTATTAAGTAACATCATCAAAAGAAATGTGTACTTCAAGCATGATCCAAAAGGTTACCAGCAGGTCGTCTCTCTTCTACTGAATTTCTACAGAGTAACATGAAAGACTTGAGGACTTTAACATAAGGCAGTTAGACCTGTTTGTGAGTTTATAATGTTGCTTCTGTTTCTTCATATTCTTAGTGTATTTCAGACACATTCACTCATCATATACATCTTTAAGCTCCAGACACCGTGAGAGAAACACACTTTTTTCATAGTTAAGCTACCTGAATACATCTTTCTTGTGTAAACCTCATGACATTATTACAAATCTGGGTTAGTTTGGGATGACCACAGGCACAGCTGAAATGATGCGCAGTCTAATTCACACAGCAAAAAGCAGCTGCTCATCCATCTCCTTCTTCCTACACATGCACACAGCCATGTACATTTGCAAGCTGTCATCAAGTCTGCTAACTTTTCAGGAATTTGTGAGGGGAGGAAGATTGGCAATGGTTTATTGTGCAGCACCATGAACACCTGCAATACAATCACTACCATCACTTAACAAGTAATCTGGAAGAAACTGTATTCTTCTAAGAGCAAAAACTGATTACAGAAGGAGTCATATCTTTGACTGCTGCTCATTAAACAAACAAGTAATTGGTTAAATCCCTGACTATGCACTATTGCTCAAGGCACAAGGCATCTGTGTTAGCCATTCTAAAATGACTGGCTCAAAAGTTTATCTTAAGAAAAACAACAGGTCAGGTTGATTTTACTCTTTCTGTGTAACAGAAGTTATTTTACTACATATAGCATCTAGAGAGTTAATTAACCAAATCTTCTTACCACCTGTCTCTTAGAATGAAATGACCACGTAAGGTCTTTAGCAAAGAACAAATCCCAGGGAATTAACCCTTGGACTCATAATGCATTAGAAATAGAATACCTTCCCTTCCCACTGCCCATGTTCAATGAATTTGTACTCACCCTCTGCGTGATGCTTTTTCCCTCTTTGACTTGCACTGCCAATCCAAGATCAGACAGTCTGCAATTGCCGTTATCATCCAGGAGGACATTTTCTGGTTTCATGTCCCGGTACACAATCTTGATGGAATGGAGATGCAGAATCCCACAGGTGATCTGAGCTGAGTAATAGATGACCCTGTTCATTGCTAAACCCCTTTCTCCCACATTGTAGATGTGATACTTCAGATCCCCTCCATTCATGAGGCTCATGACAAGACACAGATGGCTTCTGCTCTCATAGGCATAAGCTAGTGTGACTATGAAAGGGCTATTGACCTTCTCCAGGATCTCTTTCTCCAGTAGTGCCATCTTCTCTCCACCTTTCTTTTTCAACCTTTTCTTATCCAGTTTCTTGCAGGCATACATCTTGCCAGTATTTTTCACCTGGATGGCACAAACCTAGAGAAGCAAGATGCACAAGGAAAGGTAATGAAGGAATTTTACGCATACAGACTGGAGTATCAAGGGCAATAATAGGCAGGAACTGGGGAATTACAGATGCCTATTAGTAGCTGCTGATGCTAACTTCTGTGGCAGAGTATATTAGCAGAGAAAATAAGGAAAAAACAAGCATACAACCTGTTCTGTTCTGGACCAGTACAGGGTGGACCTTATGCAAAGTTCCTGAGGACACCATTAGTAGACAGGTATTAGCAAATAAAATAAACAAGGACCCATTTTCTGATCATGAGAACAAGCAGCACATACAGCTTGCATCTCTGTAGCTAAACTCTCTTCCATCTCAAAACAAGGTAGCCTCATTCATACTGTGTTTTGGGAACAGGTCTTGATCTGCGCTATTCTCTAAACCACACCTAGGAGTTACCTGGGAGCGCGTGAGCTAGCACAGGCTAAAACGGTGCCAAGGAGCAGACTGATAATTAACTATCTTGACAGTCATGCAAGCTTTTGTAAAGAAGCCTGCTTTTTTACTAGCACAGATACAGAATATGAGTAGCTCTTCACTAACAGACACCTGGAGCCTATATTACAGTATAGATTACCAAACACAGCCTAATTTCTGGGAAATGGGACAATCTGAAGGAGCAAGTTTTGCAAAACCTTAGACAATTTCTTAATCCATTGCCAAGTTCCTCTTTGCAAACCCACCTGCTGATCTTGAAAGGGGAGGGATGACCCACATCCTTCAAAGTACAGCTCTTACCTCTCCAAAGCCACCTTTGCCCAGCACTCGGAACTCATAGAAGTATTTCTCAGTTACCGGCTGCTTCTCAAAAACTTTCCATTGGAGGAATTTGTCATAGAAGGGGCTGGTCTGGAAGTCCTGGAAGGGCTTGTCTTTAAGGAAGAGTTTCGTTTCCTCCTTGGCCAGCAGCATGACATTCTCATAGTCTTTTGCAGTAGCTGCCTGGCATTTGCTGGCCAAGTCAGAGCTCATGAAAGCTAGACAGTTTTTGGAGCCTGCCTTAAGAAAATTGGTGATCATATTCTCCATGGTACTGCTCTTGACATTGTCCTCTGCCAACTCCCAGTTTGACACTTCATCCAGGAAGTCTCTAGCTACCAAATATTCTGGCACTGTCTCTAAGAAGTCTCTGAAGAATTTCTTGCCAATGGGCTGCTGCTCACAGATGCTGTCATAATCAGCAACAATGGACTGTCTAACCTCTGTGCATTGATCAATCTTGGGCAGTGAGAGGCTCTTACGTCTCTTTTGCATCTCCTTGGTGTCTCCATCTCCACTCTTCCTTGCCTGCAGATAGGCTGTGTTGGCAATCAGATTGTCAAGCCCACCCATGTCACACATCTTGGCAAGGTCTTGGGGTGGCAGAGCCTAACTGAGACAAAATGAGTAACTGGCCCAAGTGCTGTGCTGTAGCTGCCCTGCACTTCTCCCTGCTAGTGGCGTGTGTGGGCTTCTGAAAAACACCAGACTAACTGCTTTTGCATTAAATACCTCTCAAGGATTTTCACTAAGTACCTTTAGGTATATGCACCATTTGTGGAAAGTGACTGCTAAGAGGTTTCTCTGTAAGGAGCTTTGAGTTTGCTATGTATAGCTGAGGGATGACATCCTAGGCAAACCTTCTCGCTGGCAGCACCAAACTCACGCAGTTCAGCGGGTGTTTTTCAGACTGGGCCCTGATAACCTTTACATGTACCAAGATTCCCTCTGCATACACTGTCCCTAGCTGCTGAGAACGTGCAAAGATTCCTGTCTGCAGTACATGCACACTCCAAACTCAGTGGCACTCTGGCCACAGTTAATAGGACAGCCTCGTATCTCCCTCCCTTGACACAGAGAACACCAATGTACTAAGAATTACATAAGTTGTGATCTGGTTTCATAAAAAGCTTTTATCACAAATCTCCCATGCCTGAAACAGAAGTTGACATAGACAAACATGAGTCATTGAGCTTTAAATTACCACACAATTCAGTGCTTTGAGCATCCAGACTTCCAAAACTCAAGTTATACTCAACATCAATGACTCTGAGCTCCACAGACACTTTGTGCAAACCTTGATGCCCCATGTAGCTCTGAGCGGATTACATGCAGAGGCTAAAACCTACTGCTGGTCTAAAAATAATGATCCCTATATATGAAACAACATATAGTTCTGACTTCATCTCTGACCCACAGAAAAAAGGAAAAACACTTCACATGACCAGCCAGATCTTGGCAAGACACTTCCATATGTTATTGTGCCTTCAGTTTATTTTCCCTGCTGAGCTTTATGACAGTAAGTGGCAGGATGAGAAGGTGGCAACAGCGTATGGCTGAGGTGGCATCAACAAAGGGACAAAGCTGATTATAATCAAGTGAAGGCAAATTCCACCTGACTTCACTCACTGGCTGCCTACCAGGAAGTCTGTGCCCCGTTTTTTCCCCAGAAGAATAAAAATCATGTGTGGCACTTACAAGGTTAAGCCCCCTTCTGCTGTGGGTCATGTCATTTGGCTGCTAAAACTTTCTTTAAATATAAGGAAGGTATTAATGGAACAGGAAAAGCAGTTCCATGATTCTTCCAGTAGCAGTGGGGTCAAGCTGTACTCTTGAGGTCAAGGTCAAGTTTCCTTTTCTCTTTTTTTCACTCTTAGAGCAAGTTGTAGAGCTGAAGCACAAATGCTAAACATGAGGATTAACAACAGGCACCTCTCAGACTCCCTACAGTAAGTGCTAAGCAATTCTTGGCTGCTTTTTGTCACTCTACTACTATGTAGCATTTCCTTTTTACATCCTTGGTCCTGTCTGCACTGAATCCATTTGACGTATAACTCATGCTTATACTCTACAAAACCACATTAGAGGAGTGTTTTTCTAGCTGTGATTGAGAGGCCCATCCATCACAAACTATGTGTGCAAGAGAATGTGGTGTACTCAAAAGGAGAGTATTTGAAAGTCTTGCTTGTACAGCAATCTTGGCTAATTCTGCCAGGTGAATGAAAGTATGGAGCAAGAGAAGGTTACATAAAGGGCTAAATAATGCAGACAGCAGAGTAAGCAATACTGAAAAAAGTCAAAGGAAGAAATGCAGAATTCTGCTGGCGGCTTTCCTGAAAATGGTGCCCACAGCAACATATTCCTATAATATCCCAGGTACAGAAAGGCAAGAAAGGAGGTAATAAAAGCTTTAATTTCAGGTCCTAAAAATCAGCAGGGTCTTTTTTACATTTAGCAATAATGCCAGCTCAGCTCAAACAGTAGCAGTATGAATGGCTGGTAGCTGGGGACATAAGGGTGAACTCAAGCTTACAACAGGCATTGATATATTCATGTCTAATCAAATAAAGAAAACACCTAATGTTTATGGGATCTGGATAAGACAGACACATTAACAGCTCCAAAAAACCATTCTGCTCTGTTAATTAGAATCTTTCCCGATTTCTACGGAACATAAACTTTCTCTAAAAGAACGTAACTTCACAAAAAGCAAAGTGAAACAGTATGATCTTTGGACACACATTCATTACTCCAGTCACTTTTGAGAGAAGACTCTACCTAGATTTGCTGAATTATCCAAATCTGCCCAGCATTTATTAAACAGCGGAGAAAAGTAGATCAGCATTAATCTATTAGTTAATAATGGCTATTTAAGTTAGTGTTACCTACTCATAAAACAGTATGTTTGGGTGAGAAGTAAAACTGATTTACTTTGCATGTAAAAGAGGTGAACAAATTCAGGACTAAACATGGATACTTACTAAGAACTATGCTAATGGAGTAACAGGGTATGATTTGGAACAGAAGAAAATTTCTCTGGTGCAAAGCTCACTGAAAGACTGGGACTTAAGCTAAACTTCTCTAAACTCCAGAGAAAATATGCAAGACATAAAATGCATTACCTTATATTCTAGGTTAACCTCTAACTACACAAATATCAGCTGCTTTCATTTCAACATTAACTTTCTTAATACCTTGTGTTAACACCTGTTTGAGCTGACACTTTGGAAAACGTTTCTACAATTATAATTCTCAGCTACTCTTATCATGCACGTGACGTGAACTGAAAGCAGGGTGAAAATTACTTTGGTACTTTCCATATTCACCTATAAACCAAAACAAAATGAAGAAAGAAGTCCTCTGATGGGACTAGATGGATGTAATAAAAGTTAGAGGATGGAGCCCGGGATCAAGTTCTGGCAGAGAAACTAGGTGGTAGCTAAAATATCATTTAACTTTGACAGCTAAAAATTATTTCTACATCCAACCAGATTTTCTTTTGCAATTATTTTAGGAAGAATCCTTTTACACAAACAGAAATACTCCACAACAACATAAATGCTATAGGCACTTCATTACTACTGTTAACTTATTTTATATTTGTTTTCAATTTTAAGACAGACATCATCTGGGATAATAACAACTGATGTGATACACTGTAACAGTGACACAGAGGATTTTTTTGATCTCAGTATGCAATGAGACAAAAGCTGTATTTAAAAAATTTAAAACATTTTAAAAACAAGATTACAAGTATTAAACAAAAACACAGTAAACTCTGCATGTATGCTTGATGACACAAAGATTGCCATTGGAACTACTTTATACAGTGAAGATAAACCTCTTTAAAAATACTTAAACAGAACTAGACACAAATACATCTGCTGAAAAATGCATTATCTTAAACAATTAAGATCATAATTTTGAAGTAAACAATGATATGCATATAATATTACTTCAATTTTGCCCAGGTTTATTAACCATTTTATTAAGTCTGAATTTGTTACAGACTTAAGCAGTAATTCAACCTCTCTATTGCATATACTAAAAAAAACCCCACAGCATATGTTCAGATTAATAGTAACTACTTTGGATATTCAGGGAAAAGACAAAGCCAGAGGCAAGCACTTAAATATATATAAGAAAAAAAAAATCACAATTCATATAAAAAAGATGATATATTGAGGATTTTCACAAAAATGAAACAATGCTTTCTCCCACTTCTAAAACACTGTAACCAATACAATTATGACAAAGAAATCTCTGTTAACTGAATTTTGATGAAACCACAATTTAACATTTTTCTCTACATTCGATTAATACCTGCTTTCCTTAGGATATTTAAATTATCAGTTTAGTTTGCTTTCTATATCAGTCAGCTAACCAGTGAGATTGTTTATGCCCCTAGTTAACTGATACAAAATATGTGTCTTTGTACCAAAGTCTCTGGATTAAAAATACATGTCTCCATGATCTTTAACAGAAATATAAATAGAATAATTATTAATGTGGTTAAATTTTAATACTATGGTTGTAGAAATCGTGTATAGAACATAACACAGCAACACACTTAGAGATACAACAAACCAAAATTTTCTAAAGTCATAAAGAAAACCTACATTAGAAATGTTCAGTATAGTGTGATGGAAAAAGCACATAGCAAATGCTTTACACACGATTCATTTTAGATCAAAAACCAGAATACTTTCTAAAAAAACTCACCAACGGTGTTTTTGTATACAATATTACTTAAAAAACAACTACTTTATCCTGACAGTAAATACGCAGCATATCAGACTTACAGGTAAGGTCACCCTTTCAAATTAATTCATTTATCTATGCAAAAACATTAAATAAACTACATTTCGGGTACAGTCTGCACCACCACATTTCCATGCTCTGATACAGTTAACACTCAAATCGTAACATATATATTTGTTAAGGTAGTCTCTCTCTTTTTTCAGTTGTGGAAATATCTGGAGTAAGACTGACCACTGCCTCCTCATACAGCAAAGAGCATACAACAAAACCACACTGACCTTGTAGCAGATAAACTAAATAAATCATGCCACGATTGACATGTTCCATTCTTTTGTATGAGCATATGGCATAAGATATACACTATTTCAGCAAGTTCAACAACAACAACAAAAAACTTCCAGTGTTTTTATTTGCCTATTCTCTGAACTACCCAGTCCTGCTGGCAGAGGGGACAGCGATTATTCTGTTTCACCCACAAGGACATGCAGCAATTGTGGAAGGAATGATTGCATTCTCCCCAAACCACTGAAAGAGAAGAAAGAACATGTTCCAGTCACACTCAGCTGTCCAATCAACACCTGCAGCAAGGTCCAAACTATCATTCTTAGATGTTTATAACCACTGCAAGCTTTAGAGACAAAACAGGTCATCGCTGATTTATCCACTGAGATTGGATTATTATGGTCATTCTGATGATAGTCAGTTCTCTGTCATCAATTCTTCTACTTATTACCAACTACAAAAAAAGAAATGCATAGATTCTCACCTTCTTGCATCAAGTGACACTGTTTTGTGAATGTATGAACACATTTATCAGTTCTGTCCAGGAAATCAGCGCAACTATCCAAGTTCTTTACCTTCCCCAGTACCAAAATATAGCCAATGCACTACTGACTGACTATCACGCAAGAGCTTATCACCAAATTCTCATATGAAATGCAGTGTTTAAACTTAAACTGTATGATATCAAGGAGGCACATTTGACACAGCATATAGCCTTGAAATGGGATCTTAGACCAGAAATTATTCACAGGCTACAACTGTTACAGCATAACAAAAAGGGTTATCTATTGTACATCTCCTCCTGAATAGTATTAGTTACTTTGCTTTTTCCCCTTATTAGTTCACATTTTCCTTACTGGAATACAAGGGTACCAATCAAAGAAGTGTTGTAAATTATGCTTTTTTTTTTTCTGACTATCTGAAATAGGATGCTTAGCAAGCCAATTAAGATATCTGGAACATGAAATTCCCGTTCTCGTTAAAACAATCATCAAAAACAACAGTGGATTAAGTTTGAGAATATATACTTCAAAACAGAAAGAACAAGGGCATGGAAAGGTTCACCACTGCTTTAAAAGTTAACTTAAAGGTTTAAAGCAAACTCTTTGAGACAATTTTTACTATTTCTGATTTAAATATATCAGAATTAAGTTAAGATTTGCTTTTGCATATATTGGTATGTAACTGAAAGCATGTTTAGGCTTAAACAGCATTATAGCAAACTCAAGTGATTCCACTTTTTCAAATGAAAAGTGAACAAACAAGCAATTGCCTCCACTATGTCTGAATTAAGACTGGGAAAAATACTGCTTTCTAATCCAGACACACATTTATTTCAGAACAGAGGATTTTTATTGGTATTACCATTGTGTCTTCTGGCATGCACCTCCGAAGAGAAAAAAGTAGCCTTTTCCTACCCACTTCAAAAGTGTACATTATCATCTCCTCAATTATGCTCAGGGTGAGAGAAACTTAAACCTCTCAGTTGCGTATGTGTTGACTGCAAACTTGAAGCGGTTTTGTTCTACGGCATGTCTGAAGTGAAAACTATTTTTATTACTGCTTAAAAATAAAACATAAAATATTACTAATGTAAAAAGATGACACAATACAGAATGAAACACCAGTTTACTTTTGAGCGTTAATAAAATCAGTATTCCCTTCAAACTTTAAAATGCACCCTACTGAGAGAAGCTTCAATTGAAAAACAAGCGAATGAAATCACTACATACCAACACAATCTTCTTGTTTGTTTTCAGCTTGACATCTAAGACAGGCATCTAAAAGTAAACAAGAACAAAACTCAATTTGATTCTCAGGATTCCATCTTAAGAATAGGTTTGTCAGAGGAAAATATAAACTCTAAAACCCATTTACAAAGGTAAAAATCCCAAGTTTTGATGTCTAGTTCAGCCCTTTAACATTAAATAACGCCCCCCCTAATTTTAAAAGAGTGCACATGACAATAAAATATAGATCTGAAGGAGATCAGAAGGACTATAAACTGTCCAACAAGTTTTGTTTATTTTCCATTGCTTTGGTATTTTCATAACTTCTGCTGAAAAAAAGCCTTCTCCATTTTGTAGATATAACAACCAGCAGATTTGTGCCAAGGCACTCAGGCATATTAAGGCCAGAGCAAGCACAAAGCCAAACCCTAATTACAGGACTTTGTTTTTCAGATGTCAGCATCTCCTTTTAAGGAAATCATTCACAATTTGGGGTTTTTTTTTAGGCTGTACATCTCTCACCACAAAGCCCACCTCCTACTACTTTTTATATAGTAGTTTTCCTTAACAAGTACCTGCATGTAATTTTCACAAGAGTCACATACACATGCAAACATATTGGTCAAATTGATAATATAAATTAATAGATAAACATGGAATAATATCTAATTAATAATATCTATCATACTTATGCACTCCAATCTGTGGCTACAGGACCAGATGGCAGGTTCAGGATTCAGTAAGATGCAAAAGTGACAACTTCCAGGCTTTGTACTGTGCCACACACATACAGTGGAAAAATGCCTTTGTTTCTGCTTTGCCCTGGCATGGGCTGCCATACACATATGTGCACGTACCACACACAACAGAAAGTGTTCAACTATTATGGGAGCAAACACATCTTCATCTCCTCCAAAGAAAAGGTAATAGTTTAAACAAAAGTGTCCCGCAGGTTGGACCTGGCCTACATGTCACTAGCTGGACCGTATTTTCCTACAAGACAGAAACATAATGTGCTACAGGAATTTAGATTTGAGTATTTTTCCTTTCTCTACCAGATATGGCCGGTACTTCTATTTTAGATTCATCTGCCCAGACACTCATCATTTTCTCAGGTAATAAAGAACAAAGAGGACAGAAACTCTGAAACAGTTACCCTTTCCTCATTGAGATAAAAGTAAGGCAGCAAATAAAGTTTCCTGTTGTCTGTTCCTATAAATGCCGTGGAAAAATAAATTAAGGGCCAAGCTGCAGGGAAGATTCAGCCAAACTGCTTCAACTTGTATCATGGTACCTCGACGCAAACTGATCTGGGGTCACTTCAATATGCAGGGCAATAAGCTGTGGCAGACTAGTAGTCGCTATAAAAGCAGCTTTCCTATCCTAGCCCTAGATTTGCAGTTGCAGACAGAGAAGCAGCAGACCACGCTGAGGACAGAAATCACTGCAACCATACCAAGGTAAGCTGTCCCCACTCCTGCATCATAACCCTAAGGGTGTCAGTCTGAAAGGTTAAGCAAATATAAGTACTGCAATCCTGCACTTCCCACCTAACACCTGCATTTTTGTTTCTTTCCCCTGTGCTTCTGTGATTCTTGAAGACCATGTTGATTCAAGGAGTTAAACCAGCAGAAAATTAAGCCAGCTAACACTTCCCTCCCTTGCAAAAATCAAACAAACTAACTTTCAGCAAGTGCCAACTTAAGTCTGGCACTGCCTCCAACCTAAGGTTACTGCAGACGCAGTGGCTCTACAGGAGCCAGACCGGGTCTGGCAGGGTCAACATGAAATTGCTAAACTGAAGTCAGTAATGATCAAGTTTCACATTCTAACAATGTGGTTTGTTCTCAAAAAATGGTTACCAGATTTTTCTGCCAGTTTCAGATGAAAAATACCCCCTTGGTGTACTTACGAAAAATTATAAATTAACTCTTTTTCTTTTTAAACTTTTATAAAAGTTCTGGGTAAAATTTTGTTCGTTTAAGACTTTTTTATAGTGCCCTGTAACAGGCTAGCTAGAACATAGAAATACGTTCTTAAAATTATGGTTCACGTGGGAGATGAAGCCAAATTTTGTATTTCCAGAGTGGTCTCTGTTCACCATATAAGAACAGACAATCTTTGTCATGTTTATGCAAAAAGTAAATATCCCACCACTTCAGTCTGGGCTGCATCTTTTTTCTTCTAGTACAGCTTTCTGCCTTTTCTGTTCCGCAGAACGTTCCCAGTAAAAACACATATGAGAAATGACAGCATTGCATATTTTGTCCCATTTCTGTTAAGCCAAAACCTGACTGTATTTGCAAGTATCATAGTTCCCAGACCTACAAAAAGCAAGGTGCTCTGGAGCTAATGTTGGGTCATTTGTCCTACCAGACTGTACCAAGCCCAACTGAGAGGACAGTTATGCATAGGATGACTCAGCACAATAGTAAAAATCAGATACAGATATGCGGTAGAGGAAAAATTCAAAGAATTTTCAAAGATCCAAGATAAATATCATATTTGTAAAAGATGTCAGAAAACAGTGATCTCAGTCAACGATGAGGCTGCTTTCAAAGAGATTCTCCAGATTTCAAAACCAGGTAAACTAATCCCTCACTTTTCAATAGATTTTTCAGTACCTTCACGTGGGTTAAAATGCACTGGTGATTAGGAGGCTTGGGTAGAAGCGTCAGAGACTCCGGATTAACAGATTTGGAAACTGAACTTACATCTACATCCACAACTGCTGCTTAAAACAACCCCAAAACCCCCAACGGCAGCAGCACACATCTAGCACTTTGGTCAGCTCGGCCGTAACTCGGCGCTTGCCGGGTCCGCCAACAGACTCCACGAAGCAGGCGCCTTGGCAAAGGACGGGGATGGTGAAACAGCAGCCCGCCTCCGGGCGCCGGCACAAGCTCAGCCCGCCTGACGAGCGCCGCTCCCCGTGCTGACAGGCGCCGGGCAGAAGCCCAGCGGGCGCTCCGGCCTCCCCCGGCAGGAGGGGCGGCGCAGGGAGGGCTGCCCGAGGCCGGCCAGGGCAGCGGGGCCCGGCGGGGCCGGGGGAGGCGGCTCCCCCGACAGCTGCGTGCAGCCTGAGGTGACCGCACGGGCCCGCGCTCCCGTGTGGCACCCCCGAGCGCTCCGGCCCAGGGACACCGAGGGCCGCAGGGCCCTCCTCTTCTTCGGGAAAAGACGCGGGGAGGAAGAGGAGGCGCGGCGGGGGCAGCCCCCACCCCCCTTCTGCCGGAAACCGCGTCTCCCTCCTCCGCCCGCCGAGCGAGGGGAAGAGGGCGCGGCGGCAGGGCACCCCTCCGG